GAGCCAACCAACAGGAGAAATGCACAATTCTTCACCTATTCCACTAGCCCAAAGACACACAAGAGCACTAAGGAATGGCAGATACGGGATGACACTCTACCCTCTCAGGACAAATGAACAGGAATCTCAAGAGATGATCCACTTGGTTTCTTTCTCTAGCACAACAATCTCGACTGAATGCAACACTGAAGCTTAGATTCATCGTCGCTGTATTTTACAAAAGCAAACCTGAGAAAACCCCATGAGGGTCTCACAAAAACATTCAACGTATTCCCACATCTCTATGGGTACAAGTTCATAGGTTATCTGCAAAGAACGCATACATTGTTTTAAAGGGAACAGCTAAACAAATTGTCCCCAACAGAAATACAAATAAATGGATTAAAAACTGGCTAGCTAACCGTATATAGAGAGAAATCGTAATTGGTAGTCCGTCTAGTTGGGGAGAAGCTTCCAGTTGGGTCCCACAAGGATCGATATTGGGTCCCATTTTGTTTAATATCTTTATAAAAAATCTGGAAGACAAAGTAGAGAATGTGCTAATTAAATTGACTGATGCCACTAGATGAAGATTGGTGGTTAAAGTAAACTACATATAGATAAATGCCACTGGTCTTTAGAAAGACTGATGATCATAGAGAATAGGACTTCTATTTACTTGTATCTTTTTAATGTATAAAAAAACTAATTCCAAGCACGAGAAATAAATTGATTTAAAAGATCTTCGTGGCTTTGTATAACACAAACTTAGGCACAATGGATAAAGACAACATAGACACAATACCCATAAATGCAGAAAATGCAGAATAAAGAATGCTCCCACATAGAGGTATTTTCAGTGCAGCTTTACTTGGAAAACTGGTGGCTATGGATCTCTCAAAAATAATTTCAGGTATGCAAGAATCAATGTGGTGGAAAGGTAGGAGTAACTAAATTCTCAAAAATGTATATATTCAGTTATTAGCAGACAAATAAACAAGAAAACAACATAAAACTTAAATGCAAAAAGAGAGCTGAAAACTTGAAGAGATAAGCAAGAAAAGTGCATAACATTAATCCAAAGCAAATTCTATAAGGAAACACACACACACACACACACACACACACACACACACACAAATAGAAGAATGCAAGGGATAATAGGAAGGACTCTTCTGACATTAGGAGAGAGACTTTTTTTTTTACCTCTCTAGAAGACACTTGGGAAACAGAAATGTTAAGTAGACCTCTTGTTGGTTTGAGGTTTGTTTTAAAAATCTTAAGATTTTGTAACAATCTGTCACATTGAAGACAACTGGAAAGTGACACTGCTTGTCAGTCATGGACTCTCATGTAGACAGGTGGGTTTTTTAGGTGAAATGAGTATATAATCTAATGTGGAATCAGCTTTTCAATTCGGTATTGTTTTTTCACTTGTTAGCACAGCGGGCCACACTCTGGATAAGTAGCCTGGAAAACCCAGCTCAAGCCTCAGAAATTTTGTTAACTTTGCTGTTCAACCTTGAAAACTTGACTTTCCTGAAAAGTTTTAGTTTCTGCATTAAATGACAGGAAAATAACTGTATTAAGAACTGCAGGTACTCTTGCTAACAAAATAAAGACTTACAGGAAGTTAAGACAGAGAAGAGATGGACACATGTGAAAGTGTGCCGTGGAAGCAACGTTGGCTCCTGCGTGGCCAGGCTTCCACTTCCACTCCGCCCTGACCTCAGCACAGAGAGCACAGCATCAACCTCACTTTGGATGACCTGCCTTGCAGCTCCCATCTCTAGGAAACCATCAAAAGGAACATGAAAAAGTCAATCCCCTCCCTACTGGCTGATTTTTCCAAAGCAGCCAACAATACTTAGCTGATTAGATGCGCCCAATCTTTGGACAACAAAAAAAATAACTTAAGAATTACAATTGGAAAAAAGGGACACTATTGATTAAAAAAATAGGTGGCACTATCATGACACTCGCACAAAGAAAGCTCTGTGCAGTCAGAGCCCCATGTGGGTCTCCCCTAACCTTCCATGCTGGGGTCAAAAGGAAACCAGGGGCATCTGAAAGGCTAGCTGGTCACCTTTTTGTCTTAATCTAATCAAGGAGCTGTGAGTATTCTGACCTCAGAAATGACTGATACCATTTGAAGTAGTTCATGTGCTATGGATTTGAAAGCTAATACCTGTTGATGATACATGATTTCCCTACTTTGATTTTACAACTTCTGACCTGAAGCATTTCTCCGCAGATAATTCCCTCTTTTAGGGATGGGACTGCATCCTATAAGCCAGGGGTCGGCAAACTGCAGCCCCTTGAGTGTGGCTCTTCCACAAAACACCACGTGCGGGCGCGCACATACAGTGCGATTGAAACTTCGTGGCCACACTCAAGGGGCCAAAGAGCCGCATGTGGCTCGCGAGCCGCAGTTTGCCGACCACTGCTATAAGCTATTTGTGTAAAATACACAAGCAAGCTTTGCCAACAGGTCTAGATGGATAATGTCTACTGTTTATAACATTTTAATATTTTACTAATATTTTCCACTTACTGAGTGCGTACCATGTACTGAGGACTATGTTACACCCTCTATACAGTATCACAAACACTCTTCATAAAAAACTATGAAAGAGGAATTAACCTTGTTTTACAGCTGGGGCAACTGAATGTTAGCAAGACTCATTTTCTTTGCCTATTGTCACACAACTATTAAACGGAGAGTAAGTCTTGCACTTGACTGACCTCAAAATAGTTCTTCACTAACATTGTGCTAAATGGTAACTCCTGCTGTTCTAATGCTATGCTTGGTGATCAAAGAAAGTGGAGAAACCACCTGTCTTAGAGAGTTTAAGACTAGGACAAACATTGTTTCTGGACCTCAGTTTCTCATAAAGTCAGAGAATTGGACTAGAGCAGGGGTCTTTAGCTGGGTGACACTGACATTCTGGGAGGGACAATTCTTTGTTATGGGGAAGCTGCGTGATGTACCATCGCTGTTCAGCAGCATCCCTGGCCTGTATCTACTCACTAAGTATCAGAAGCAACACCCTCCCCCCTGTTTTGACAACCCATAATTCTGCAAGCCCAGAGATCCCTGAGGCATGGCTGCCTGATTTTGGGCACTGCACTAGAAGAAGTGTAGGTATGTCTGTTGTTATCTCATAGTCTATATTCTGAATTGTGGGTCCACCGTCAGCCAAGAGAACCAGCTTTTTTTACCACCACAGGGCACCTCCACCTCAGTACCCTGAATTTAAAACAATCAGTTTGCTATCAACATGCCACTCTCTAGGTCTTAAATTTGTCATTTAAATGCAAATTGGTCTAAAAAAAGTGGAGAGATGAAAGTGAAAAAAAAGATCAGATGGTATTAAGTCAGCTTTGCATTAGGCAATTGATTTAGATTCATTTCAAATGGCAGGAATATGAGACAGCTTTTATTTATTTATTTATTCATTTTCTTTCCTTTATTAAGGCCACTGTATCAGGGCAATCATAAAATGGGTTTAAATAGCACAGCCCGAGAGCCTCAATGCTACGTTGGAATCTATGGACAGTTTTCAATAATTGAAACCTCAGACCAGCGGTTCTCAACCTGTGGGTCGCGACCCATTTGGGGGTCGAACGACCCTTTCACAGGGGTCGCCTAAGACCATCCTTTATATCAGATATTTACATTAGGATTCATAACAGTAGCAAAATTACAGTTATGAAGTAGCAACGAAAATAATTTTATGGTTGTGGATCACAACATGAGGAATTGTATTTAAAGGGCCAGAAGGTTGAGAACCACTGCCTCAGACACTAGAAAGAAACTGACAGTTTCCCAGACCTTGGTTCCTTGGCTTTCAAGGGCCGTATGTAAGATGTGCATCCTTACAAATAACATCTCCCAGGAAAGGAGTGCCTTTGGTTAGAGAATAGCCCATCAATTATCAGACCTATGGATACGTGGAGACATTAGTGAGCCAGCAGCTTTCACTGGATTTGCTCCAAATAAAACTCAATGATAGATGTTATTTATGGTCTTCTATCCTTGGAATTAAATTGATGTTCGAAATATTAAAACATCAATTAAATAATCAGTGGTATGGTTAACAGTTCCAGAGGTTTAGAAGGATTACAGTCTTCCTAGTTCCAGCACTCTGAACTACGATGCCCAGGCATACCCTAGGGCAATCAAATCAGAATTTCTGGGGAAGACACCCAGCCTTCAGTACTTTTACTGCTCTCCCAGTCATTCAACCAGGCTCTGAAGGCTGAGAATTATTGCCTTAAAGAATGAACCAGTTTGTAACTGGGAATTATTCTTTGCCTATGCCTGATTTAAGCAGGATAGTGGCCTCCTGTAGTCAAATGCTCCAGTGATTTTAAGTGGCACATGTGCAAGGCATTCAGTAATTATCTGTCACTTAAGGAGAAAATGATTCTTTTCTCCCCTCCCCCGTACCCCCTCCTTCTGATGACTTCAAAGAGAAAGTCTCAGTTTGCTGCTGGTAAGTCTTAAATACATCTCTGTACTTGCTTATCTCCCTTCTAAATCCAAGAGCATGCAGAGCTCAGGCCCCGAGCCTTCATCTAGTATAACCTAGTATTTAATAACATCATTAAAATTTTTATTTATTTATACCTAAGCTTATCTTTTAGCAAGTAATACTGATTTGTGTGATACGAAATTTCCTTTTTAAATAAATTTAAATAATGTGAGTAAAATTCAAGAAATATAAAGTAAATAATAGCACACATCATACTCATAGATTGAAAAAGTCACCAATGTGGTTTTCAGGTGACTGTGGTCTGGGCAACCCTAGTGTTAAGGTAAAGGGCATCTAAATGTTGTGTCACAGATTTGGGCTGTAATTATGCCTCCATCGCTAATTATCTTCATGATTTGTGGAAAATTACCCATTCTCTTCCCTGGGCCATGGTTTCCTCATTTGTTAAACAAGACCTTTGACCTATATTGCTGGCATTCTTCTATGCGTTTAAGAAGCAAGGAAGGCCTGACCCGCATTTACCTTGTTGACATCCAGGCGCATCTTATCACTGTTGGCGCTCGCCTTCTCGGCTGCTTTCTTTTGGCGTTGGGGTCCCCTCCCAAAGAAAATGTAGTTGACCAAAGCATATTCCAGAAGGGCCATAAAAACAAAGACAAAGCACCCCATCAGGTACATGTCAATGGCCTTCACGTAGGGGATTTTAGGGAGAGTCTCCCGGAGGTGAGTGTTGATGGTGGTCATTGTAAGGACAGTTGTAATTCCTGGAAAAAGAAAAAAAGAGAGTTAGAATAATGATGCTCCTGTGTCCTTGCTGCTCTCATTACAGCTGGAAAGATTACTGTACTCTTTTAGTCATTTCTATATGCCACAAAATATTTACTGGGCACTTATTATAGTCCAGCTCTGTGACAGTCCCTGGAGATATGCACAAATCATCTATTTGTAATAAACATTACTTATTTAGAATCCTTCTTTAGTTATATTTATATATTACAGTTATATATCTAATGGGAGGGGGTTGAAAAGTGATTTAAATGCTTCTGTGTTAGATACCTGTAGGCTGTATGTTGAGAATATAGAGGAAACACAGGTTTTGGAGCTCTGTTTTGAAGAATGAGTGGGAGTGACCCAGACAACCCAGGACTGAAGGTCAAAAGTGAAGTTAAAGTTAGACCTCAGGGCATTGGTGGTGGAGAGAGCTTTCTGTGTGTGGTGAAGGTATACAGCTCACTGAAAGACTCCCACAAAGTCAACGTGGGTATGTGAGGATATGGTGGGAAGAATGGTGAGGAGACTGAAAGTTCAGTAAGAGCTACATCATGGAGGGCCATATATACAGAGCCTAACGAGGAGTCTGAACTTGAAATTATAGGCAATGTGGGGCCACTGGCCAGCTTGGAGCAGGGAGATATAGGGGCAAATTGTGTTTATGATAGTCACTCTGGTAGCTATGGGGGCAGGTATAGAGAAGCATACAAGACAGGAATAAAGAACCCTCCTTAAGAGTGCCCCCCCCCCCGAATAATTTGTTAGGAAGGGGAAATAAAATAATTACAACAGTACAAAAATCAATCAATGCATTTTATAGATGATACGGACAAATGATTGTAAAAATGTGGAAACTGCAGATGGAGGATAATAGAGAAGTTGAAACCTAACCTTCATGTTTCTAAATTGGGCACCGAGGCATGTAATACACAGATAAATTAAACAGAAGTATTACAAGATTCCTTATGGAAAATGCCACCCTAAGCAATGGCATTTATAATTATAATTATTCATCCAGCTATGTAAGCACCCCTAACTGGGGGGAGTAGTTTCCCTCAAAGGTATAATTGGAGGGATAGACATTGCTATGCAGGAAAAAGCACGGGGGTCCAGAGTCCCTGGTAGGATAAGTTCCTTGTGAAAATAGGCAGAATTCAGAGTCAAGATCCTGCAGGTGGGAGGTTAGGCAGTCTACATATGAACTGGGACCTCTCCAACTCAGAAACCTGTGTCCTTAAACACTACCTAATAACACATCCCAGAAGTTACGTTTCATTTCTGTGATTTTTTTTTGGAACGTAAGTTTCCTGATTTAATTTTCTCTCTCTAATAAGATCATAATTTTTGTCTTGTTTTTATACATGCTCCTAAAACAAACATAGAAAAAATAATTTTTTAATAGATATGTGTGTTTTTTCAATTGATTTTAGACAGAGAAGAAGGGAGAGGGAGGGAGAGGGAGAGATAGAAACGTCAATGAGAGAGAAACATCTATCAACTGCCTCCTGCATGTCCTTCACTGGGGATCGAGCCCACCACCCAGGCCTGTGGCCTGACCAGGATTTGACCCAGTGACATTTTGGTGCATGAGTTGATGCTCAACTACTGGTAACACTGGCTTAGCAGAAAAAATAAATTTGAGCATCTGATTCTGAGCATGACCAGAAAAACCCTGGCCTTGCTTTAGAGCTAGGTATCTTACAGTTCTCAGATGTTTCTTTTTTATGACAATATTAATCTTTTTGAAACATTTCCCAATTTCATTTTTCTCTTCTTTATGTCAACCACAGATTATCCTGTATGGCATGTATATCATAAAACTGACAACGCTGATTTTACTATTTATCTAAATCTCATTTTAAGGCATTTCTGACCTAGTAATAAATTGTTCACATAGGGAGATGGATGAATTGGGGGGAAGAGAGAGAAAGAGAGAGAGAGAGAGAGAGAGAGAGAGAGAGAGAACAAACTCATGGATATGGACAACAGTGTAGTGATTGCAGCGGGGGTGGGGGTGGAAGAGAGTATAGAAGGGATAAATGGGGATGGAAAAAATAAAATAAAATTTATATAAAGAAGTAAATAAATTACTTATTATTCCTGTAATAGACATAAAATAGATAACAAATATTCACTTTGAAATAAGATATTTACAAATTTCATTCATTCCTTTATTCAGCAAATATTTACTGAACATCATTTTCTATGAGAGACACTATAGATGTAATGGAAGCAAAATTAGATATTGACCTTTCTCCAAAGGATCTTCCAGTACCAGGAGGAAAATGACATCACAAAAGAATGCATAACAGTGGCTGGCCTACAGAGGGGAGCTCTCTAGCACTTTAAGAGGTTAAGGCACAGGGACTGGACTCAAAACAGGAGGTCATTACTTCTCCCTTCCGTCCTTGAACTACCACAATCTAAGCTCAACACAGCAGCCAACGTGATTCCTTCAAAACTGAAATCAAATCATGTTACTTCTTTGCTCAATAACTCTGTTGCTCAGCATAAAAGTGAAGCCTTTATTATGGCCCCCAAACCACTTCATAATCTTTTCGTCCCCTCGCACACACACTATCCTAGCTCCTGAACTCTCTCTGCATTTGCCTTGCTGCCACCTCATTGACGTGCTCAGGGACTGGAATATTCTTATCCAGGTAACTGTGGCTTTTCATCCTCTTCAAGTCTGTTCCATTGACAATTTCTGAGTAAATTCTACCCTGATTATTCTAAACTGTACCCCCCGGCATAGCTAACCTTCCCCTTGCTTACTCCCCTCAATAGACTGACCATATTATATAATTTGCATGGCTATTCAATTTATTGTCTATCTTTTACTGCTGGAACATAACTCCCAGAAGGGCACAGATTCATCTCCAGTGCTGAGAGTATCTGGCAGGGCACATAGTAGGCATTCAACAAGTACTTGTTGAATGAATAAATAAATGACTTCTCCAAGGAAGTAACAGTTGCATTGAGATCTCATGGTGGAGGAGTTAACATTTCAAAATTGAAAGGAATTAGTCAGAATTCAAAGTAATAAAGATTGTGTAAAAGGTCATAAATTTACCATATCTGGAGTTAGCATCATAAAAATGTCCATGAAATAGAATTTATTCTCTTTCTTTGGTCTTATAACAAAAGAAAAATCAAGCACTAGATATCTGATGCCATAGATTATTTCCTAAAATTTTTGCTTGGTTTTCTCCTGTCCCCTGCCATGCCAGTCCAAAATATTCATAAGACTTTAGACTTCTTTCTGCTTAGCTACTTTTTACACACTACATTTCATGTTTTTTTGCTCAGAACAACAAAAAGATGGGAGGGACATCTTCCCAGGTAAAGAAGCGCAGATAGAAATTTAATAATTATCAAGCGATATTACATGAATTATGCTTCAATAAAAATATCACACGGATGGGACTAATTACATTACCAACAGCTATCTAGTTAACTAATTTTGACATGAAAGAGCTTTAATATGTGTTTAATTGATTTAACGCTGAATCAGATCACCCAAAGTCTCAGAGTCAAATCCTTGTAATGTGTGCAGTCTGGTTTCATCATGTGTTACAAATTCCAGGGAAAGAAAGTGCATTTTTGGACACACATGCATGCACACACTCGCACACACATGCACGCATGCATGAGTCAACTCCGCAAGCAGACAGAAAATGGCCTACCTAATGCCACTCTTGCAGCTGAAGCATCGTAATTAATCCAAAAGGAGACCCAGGAGAGGATAGTGATCAGGATGGAAGGCATATACGTTTGCAGGATAAAGTACCCAATGTTTCTCTTCAACTTAAAACTGAGGGACAACCTGGGATAGGAACCTAGAAAGGCAATTTTAGATCATCATTATCAATCAATACTTGTAGGATACTTTCCTTTAAAGGCCCCTAAACAGTCTGTATATTTTCCTAAATTCAAGTTTAGCTCCTAGTGAAGAGTAAATACTTTCTTCTGCAAAAGATGTCTAGAACACTGGGTTTTTAATTAGCAGGAGTTACTCCATGTTGACTACATCCCATTCTCATCATTAACAGAATTCCCGGTTTTCTCTGCTCGGCCTCATGTACTGGATCAAAAAATATTCATTATCTAAAACTGTGATGACAAGACAATTTGAGATAGTCCCTTTGTCCCCCCTCAATTGTTTCTTAGCTAGTCCACCCGTTAAGGTATGTTTTGCATATAAGAATCAGGTTGCACACTCTGATGCTAGTAAAAGATAGCTAGCTCTTCATACACAAAGCCCCAGGATGGTTTTAAGTCTGGATCAATGGCTGCACTTCAGACAATGCAGCAACTCCCTGAAATTTCAGGATGGTTTTCAAGTGTAGGCATTATTTTTTTTCTAAAATCAGTGTATTCATCAAAGTTCTAAAGCAGGGGTGGGAAACGTCCTGCCCATGGGCCATATAAGGCCCACAAAATCATTTGGTCCGACCCTGCCAAGGCATTAGTGGCGAGTTAATTAAATGTTTGACCAAATAGACCAGGCTAATTTTTAAGTTGATAATTTTGTATGGCCCGCGAATGCTGTCATAAATATCCAAATGGCCCTTGGCAGAAATAAAGGTTCCCCACCCCCGTTCTTAAAGGGATCCCTGACCTACTCAAAGGTGGAGAATCACTATTCCTGAGCAATATCTGTGGGAGATACAACTAAAGCATCACATTCCTGAAGCGGGATCCTTTGATTGTGGTGATCTGGGATTCACACTTTAGACAATATATGTAACAGAACACATCCTTAGACCATAAATGGTTCACACTGATAGTGTCTTAATATGAAAGTAAGAGTATTTTAAGTAGGAACTCATTTATATAGAGCTTTAGCAATTCAAAAGACTTCATACTTAGGAAAAGTTTCTGTTATTATTGTTCTTTTTTTTAAAGCCAAAGGCTACACTGCATTCTTACTAAGTCATGCAACTCTTGCCTAAAGTTGTTTTTAGGGACAGGAAGTACCCAAATCAGAGGGGAAACTCAAAATTTACAGTTATAGGGCTAGCTATTTCCATGTGCGGGATTCACTTCAATGAGACATATTCCTGTGGGCTGATTATTTTCCCCCTTAATGAGTGATGTAGCAAATTACCACTTTACTGGGCTTTCTTGTTAAAAATTTGTGCTGATGAAACCAAGTTTAACAACCTAAAACCTCAATACTAGCAGGGTAAGGGCAGCAAAGGCATCAGGATAACCTCAGGATCTGGAAAGGTGTTTATATGCAAAATAGGGGGTCACACTACATAAAGCAATTCCCGTCCTCCGACGGAAATGTGAAATTCTCCTACCCTACTCTCTTCAGAGAATTTCGCTGTGGTCAGACTTGAGTGAACTGTGACTTGGTTATTCCCAGTGTATTTGAAAGAATGATGATCAATTCTGTGAGATGCATAAAATCAGGGGAACAACTGACCCAGGTCTTCATTCCTTTCTCTATTCTGTGTACAACAATTAGTCCCTTTGTTGGCCAATGAGAGACACAGCGCTTAGTCTCTCAGCATTGCTGGGGATGCCTTCAGGAAAATAACCAGATGGGCTGCAAATGAGCAATGGGCTTGCTGGGGACCTGAGGGTTTTCAGCAGATCTCCGTCTTCTAGAGTCACCATCCTTATACCCGATCCTGATATAAGTGACCCCTGTTTATAAACGATGATGACTCTTTTACCTTAACCCTCTTCCCTGATACAAACCTGTGGAGAAAACAACCTTCTTGGTGATGAGTTTGTAATCTACAATAGAGAACTGTGGAAGTTCAATCTTTGTTACTCCCGTTACTGCTTTATCTTCCCCACGCCAGTAAAACTCAATGTCGTCAGTGGTATATCCATCTGTAAAGAAAACATACACACACACATACAGACACACAAAATGAAAAACAAACAGACAGAATAAGGTTAGTAGATGAATTATGTAAATGACAATAGCTATAGTTAGAGGGTATTATTATATGTTAGGTACCATGCTAAGCACCTCAAGTACATTAGCACATTTAATCCCCACGACAAACTCATGAGGGAAGCATAATTAGGCCCCCAGAGGAATCACAGGCTCAGAGAAATTAACAGCTCACATTAAGTCTTGCAACTAGGAAGTGGCATAGTTGGAACTTGAACCTAGATTTATCTGAGTATGAATCTCATTCTCTCAAACATTATCATATTATTACATAACCCTGATGGCACTCTAAGGGAAGACAAAAGAAGAGGAATATCATTTAAGTTATCAATACAGCACTGAATACTATCAAACTTCCCCCCTCCATATAAGATAGTTGAGTTTTAAGTCAGAAGAGAAATGATTATTAAGGGAGTCATTAATTTGTTAATATTCATAGACATGACCTCCAAATTTGATTTTGTAGCATATCTGAATTTCAAAATTCTCTCCAAAACAAACCTCAAAACAACATTGATTCTAATAGTTTCAAGAAATAAATACAAATGTATAGTGTATACTACCAATGCACAGTGCATTTAGGAGGTATACTTCCATTCATTCAACAACTATTTACTGAGCATCTACTATGCTCATCAGTGCACAGATGCTGGGGATAGGACTCTGTACAATAAAGACATGTCCTCTGTTATAATGATATTTTCAATCTGTGGGGCAGAGTAGAATAAGCACACATATTCTAATAAGTAAGCACATATATAACTGCAACGAATAACCACATATTAGATTGTAAACAATGCTGTACAGGGAAGCATGCAATGAAATCCAGTGAATATTGATATTTCATGCACTAACCCCCCCACAACCTCCCATAAAAGCATATATTATCTTTGTGTATCCTAATTATCTCTTCAAAGAACTTTTGTATCTTGATAGTTGAATTTTTTAAAGTATAGAAAACAGGACAGATATTGCTCCCCCAATTTCAAAAGCAATGAAACAAATTAAAAAGATTGCCTAAGTTCTTTGCCTTTTGACATGTGACTAGCTAGTGTAGCACTGAGGACTATAATTACAATCCTCTGACTCTTAGCTCTTATGGTTTTGAAGAAACCACATTGCCTTCAAAGAGAGAGAGAGAGTAAGATCTCCATAAAAGTGGAAAAAATATTTTTCAAAGAACTGCAATGCCCTTGATTTGAAAATTTATATAAACTATAGCACAGCTCAGGCAGCGTCTTAACTTTTCTAGAAATCTGCAGTCCTCCTTATTCATAGGCGCAATGATGCAGTCATACAGTTTTTTGCAAGCGTTCTTGAGAATTGAGCTTCTTGTTTTGCATCTATAGGCTTCTGGATAATAGCTAATGATTTTGAAAAGGCTTGTTCAGTTGAGAACATGTTTTGTTAGACAATGTCTTTCTGCATATAAAACTTTGATTTTAAAGAAAAGTTCAAGGGAATGGCATAAGAAACAGATTCTCAGAAAAGAGCTTCTCACTCCCCATTAATCTACCTCATTATATTCTTTAACTTATCCTTAGAACGGGGATGTCTGTCCTAAAAGAGAACTTTCCTAATATGACCCTGGGGACCCTCACAGTTCAGAGCCTCATCTCAAATATAACCTAATTTCTCATTTGTTATTTGCACACATCTCTGTTATGAAATTGTTTTAAATCAATGACAATCCCACCTTTGATAAAATAGTTTAAAATGGAAAGATAAAAGAAATTTGCTCAGAGAATTAACCTCGATAGTTAGAAATGCATTGCAAAATTGGTATATAAGCATAAATAAAGGTATTTATGAAACCAGAAGGCAATTGTGTGGGTGTTCTTTTTTATAAAAGCTTTTGTCAAATGCAGCCATCTTCAGAAGAAGAGGTTGAGAGAAAACTCTCACCATTTTCAATAGAGGATTAAGTCTAACCTAGAGAGGGGTGTGTTTCTGGTCCTGCAGCTTCCTCTCTCCAGTATCTACCGTCTTTGTCCAGCACCACAAATCTAACAGCAGCTCTCTGCAGGCAGAGGCACCAGCTATTGCACTGCTCTACAGTTGCATAGGAGATGCCTAGCAGCTGTTAAATAGATAAAAACATTATTATGAAACCCAGACTTTTATCAAACCTATTGACCATATGCATTTTATTTATTTATTTATTTTAGGATATAAAACATGCCCACCCAGACATGTTCCATAAATTGCTGGAGGTATTCATACATTTTAGGGTGAATATATTCAACCCTGAATATATAATAGAATTAACAAAATAATTATGCAATGCACAGGTGGATTTGGGCAATATCCAGACGCTTGGCATTGATAAGGTATTCGTTATGTTTATACGTCTGTCTCTTGCTCCTGTCACACTACCTGGCACATGGCTGGCATTAAATATCTTCTGAATGAATAAAAAAGACAACCAATAATAACATAGAATAATCCAAAGGTTCTTCATTATATACCTCTCCTTTTGTAATAGCTGAGCAAGTTTCCTAACTGCTCTCTATGTTTCATTTTCTCACTTGTAAATTGAAATATCATCATTATCATCATCATCATCATCATCATCACTACTCATGGAGTTTTTATGCAAAAAAGCTGAGTTCTACTTGTAAAATACAATGCTTAACAAGGTTAGATAGCACCTTCTTTTTAATACCTTTGCTGTTATTTCATGAGCAAATACAAAGATGTGCACAATGAGAAACCCAGCTGTTCAATCAAGGACACTTACAGAACTCTCCAAAGTGTTTGGAAATTATAATAAAACATTTAAGTTTATTTTGATATTTAGGATTTTGGAATCTGACACCAGAGAGCAATGTGTTGTGTATACAACTTGACTAGTGCTGATCTTAAAAACCCCAATGTTCTTGACTTCATTTTGGTTTAACCAAGTATAGAATATTGCAAATGGAAAGGAAACGGATGTGCTTGCATCATCGATTTCTGAAGATGAAAGACCAAAAATCTCTGACAGTGCCACTGTGGTCAAGTTCAAAGCTAGCTCAGATACCATGTGGATTACCTGAAAGCAGACCTAGTTTTCTTTTTCTTTGAATTTTCTCTGGAGGAACAGTTAGCAGTCCCTCAAAGTGATTAAAAAATAAAACATATGCAAATATATATGACCTGACTTTTACAGCTTTCATAATTATAATGAGTGAAAATAATTAGATTCCTTGTAAAAGATATCAGAAGGGGGGTGGTGCACAGGAACTGCTCATTAATGTCTTGCAAATTAAATTCATCTTTTATATTTTATTCATGGGACTCTAGAAACGGAGTCATTAAATTCTATTGTATTCTTATCATTAAAACCACAACCCAGATAAATTCAGATGGCCTATGAATAATCCAAAATACAAATTTATTGGAATTTACTTGGAGGACTTAAAAACTGTATAAAATGTTAAAATGTTACAAGTCTCAGAGCAGGATAGATAAATATATAAATATGCAAATTTACATAAGACATGAATGATAAACAAGCTGTCTTTCAAATATTGGTAAAAACATCTAGTATATGAGAGCTAAGGAGTAAAAATGCCATTTTAAAAACACATAACTGAACAGGTTCTCACAATTATGACATTTTCTTATTACATAACATGGCATTTTAAAACTTTTTCTCTCTTAATGTCAGTCTACATGTCTACTTTGTTATCTACTAAGTAAATATTTCATTTTAGAAGAATTTTACTGCACAAAGGATATGAACTTACCAAGAAATTAAACAGTGGTGGCTGGTGACATTTATTTTTAAAGGGGGAAATTAAAGTGACTTGTTTTTTTCTTGCTACTTATTTAAACTTAGTTCCTCAATTGGACTGCTGAATGTTGTAGGGTAATTATCTATCTCTCACTGCATCTAACATAGCAATAGTTATACAATAACACAGTAGTTGCTTTAACCTGTTATTTCTCAGTCATCACAACCAACTTCTGAAAACTGAGAATTATGGGTTGGGAATAATTTACACTAGTCATGGATGGTTTATATTTTTTAAGAACTATCTTATCTCAAATTCCCTGCCCTGTATATTTCTATTACAGCACTTTAAAAATGTTTTTGAATTAAATACCTCGTTGTAAAAAAATTTAGTATATTACTGCCTTATTAGTATTTAAAATTCTATTGGTTTTTAAATAACTACTAGTAAAAATTTATGTTCTGAGGAACACTAAGCCTCTGTCATGTGCTTCATGGAAAAGACTTCTACAGTCCATATATTGTTGAGTTACTGCATATTTTGGCCCCCTCTTATAGTTACAAATATTTAACAGAATTTAGGAAATCCCGCAATAAACAATCCGTTTAACTTTACTTACCCCTGGAATTTCCCAAACCTATTGACCATATGCATTTTGTTTTATTTTATTTTATTAGGATATAAAACATGCTCGCCCAGATGTGTTCCATAAATTGCTGGAGGTATTCATACATTTTAGGGTGATTTAGTTAATGTTCCCCGAAAAGCCAGGTAAGCCCTTGAGAAGGCTCACTGTTCCCCAGAAACTTATCTTGCTTCTTTAGTGGATTAAACATTTTTTTTCCTCTAAAAAACATTTGCAAATAACAGAGATCAGATTGTCTTTTAATGGAGCAAGGCAGACAGACATTTCTGGAAAGCGGCACAACTGAATGTAAGAAGGTGAGCATTTTCATGACTCACTCTGCGACCACTTAGAAGTCTGTCAGCCACAGTCAGAACCCACTCCATTCCTGGCGGGGGCCTGTGTGCTGTGCAAAGGAGCAATACCGAGTGCAGTCCACGGCCGATGAGACGTGCAGGGAGTTTTCAGGAGGGAGAGGCACACTTGCCAGCCACAACTCTTTAAATTCAGCAATGCAAACCTTCCAAAGACACTCTGCGTGATTGCCCTGACTCCGTAATTGCATCCTATTCTTCACTCTGCTCTTTAG